ATTGTTGTACTCTCTTGTACCAAAAATTAAAAAAATATACTTAAATAATAATAAGAAAATTAAGTAATGAGAAAAATTAATTATGTTTTGAAGTAATAATAATTATTCTATTTCTATTCTATTTTCACTGTATGGAACCAAACGTTTTTTGCTTAAACTATTAATTTTTTTGGAAAAACTAATTGAAGAATAATAAAGTATTATAAAAATGCGCTGTTTTATCAAGAATAAAATTTTTCGAAATTTTTTTTTGAGTTAAAAAATTTTTTTTTTTAAATAACCCACTATAAAACCATTTTTCTCATGAAGGTTATTATCTAAGGATTACTGAACTGATTAATGAACAAAAATTGTTTATACATTTTGTTTTTAAATTACACATTTTGGATATTATTTTAATTTATATTAATTATTTTATTCTAGAGGTAAATGCTTTAAAATAACCGCAAAAGCAACGTTTTATTCATTAGCCAATAAAGTAAATCAAAAATCTTCCGTTAGACATGATCAATGAACACTTTTTCATTACTGATACTTGTAAATATTTTTGTAAAAATTGACATTTTTTACCCAGAATCTGTAAAAGTCATAAAAAAAAGTACCAATGGTGAGTTCTGAGTGAGTGAGAGTGAGACGGTTTTTTTTTAATAAATTCCGACAAAAATTAACAGTGTGAGTTCTGCTCGGGGCAAAACCCCCAAAAATTTTGACATAACATTCGCGAATCACATAGTATGAGGTTTAAAAAGGGGGCGAGCGGCAAAGCCGCGAGCCCCATATAGTTTTTATTTTTTACACAACATTTTCAAATCCGATAGGATTTGATATCAGTTTCTAGTTTCACACTAAAACGTAAAGCACACTTGCAATAATAACACTAGGCGACATTTTTTCAATTTTTTTTTCTAACATGAAACAAAATTTAAAATCACCAAAATTCTCCATCACGTAAGGTTTTTTTTGTTATTTTTGTTTTCATAATTAAAAAGTGGTCATATTCACGATAAAGACTGAACTAAAAAAATGCATTAAACCATTTTTATTTTTAAACTACACAAAATAGAACACTAGATAATAGATAGAACACAAATTTAAAAAAGAAATACTTTCAATGAGAAATAAAGTCTCCCTTTTGCAGATACCTGGAGAAGTCCCCCATTTTTGTCGAATCTAATACATATCTTGATATTTTTTTTAATAGCACTGATATCTCGATAAACATGCTTTTGTCTATCACTTTACAGTCCTTAAGGTTTGAAAAAGAAATCGAATCAAAAAATACACTTTTAGAGACATTCGACACCAAAGTGTTTTACAATTTTCCAATAGTTTAAAATAAAAATAGAATAATTTTCATTTCTATTATAGTTAATAAATATGTGGACTACACTCTTAAAAGAATTTCAAGCAGTTACATAATTCTTAGGTATTTAATTTTTGCACAAAAACTTCATTATTGCAGATTTGAGGTGTTTCTCGGATAAAGGATTTATTTTTTATTTGTTTAAACGGAAAATAAATTGATTTGCAATTACAAATCAGTAGTAAACCATGAAATTTAAATTTATTTCCTTTAATAATGGCCTAAGTTAACGTTTATCAAAAAAAGTATTAATAAAAAATGTGACGTGTTAGAGATTTTTTATTTTTACCATTATAAGTCAAATGGCGTGTTTTAAGACTGGTACCAAAAATTATGCTTGTTAGAAAAATCATGTTGCCTAGTGTAATTAATTGATTAGGTGAGTAAACAAAACTATAATTTTCCAGGACTGCTTTTGTTACGATTTCACGAAATTAAAAAAATGATTAGAAAAATACTGTTTTAGACTTAAATTATAATTTTGACAAGTAAATTAACAATGCAGAACTGAAAACCAAAACGTCATTTATCGTTTAAAAAAAGAATTGCTTGAAACAATCTGGCTTTTGTTTGCGTGAAAACTAGTACAAGTTCAAAATCGCGTGTTGCAATAACTATTATTATTACAGTGGATATTGTTTAGGAATGTGTCTAATAAGTATCGACAATCGGTCTTTGTCACCGCTTCTTTCCATCATTTTCTTACGAAAGCATCGTCCAGTGTCCTGTCAGAAATCTCCATCATTGTGTCATACATGTCATGGACAAGGATAATGTCACACTCGACCAACTCTAATAAAGTTGTGTCATTTCACGTCTCTTTTTGTTCGTGAAGTAACAAGGAAAATGTCCGGGGAGTCCAAATAAAGGGCGCCGATTTAATGAAATCGAAATGAAACGCACAATAGGCGAAAGTGAAAAACTTAACTTCGCGAGTCAAATCATCGAATTCTATCACGGTCAACACACACTTTCTATTAGTGTTATCGCAGCCGATAAATAAAAGCGAAGAATTGCTGTGAAATGATCAATTAACAATGCGAACACGCGGCCGATAGCTCTCCTTTGTAATTAGCAAGCCAGGGCCGGAATGAATAAATACTGCGAGATTAATATGTCATGGTTTTCCAGCGCAAGGTTGCAACGCTTTGTGACATGATGTTCAATTAGGATGCAAAATGCGAGCAGATGGACTCATTTTACATTTATTTTCCAAAAAAACAATTCGAAATTAACTCACAAATCGATAAACGACAATGCGTTGAAAATTAAAAAAAATGGGTATTATAGAATTGTTCAATATTGTAAAATTGAAACAATAAAGCAGTACAACTCACCTTGGAAATTATAGTTTTGTTTACACACTTAAGTATCCACTTAATTAATTATTATTATTGCAAATGTGCTATAAGTTTTAGTATGAGATTAACGCACTTAATTAAAGAAAAGGAAAACAAAGTAGACAAATTATTGTGATTGTTCAATTAAATTAATTAAAGTCATTTATTTCTACTCAGGTTTAAAAACACCACAAAATATGTACAAATAAATTTCTTTCTTTTTTCTACATAAGTAAAATTAAAAACGATTTTTATTAATGTTAAAATGTTTCTATTTTTTCTAATAGAAAAAATATGGTATTTTGTGTAATTTTACTCTATACTGACAATTTGGCTAGTAAAAGATTTGCTACAATTTATTAAAAATAAATAGATATAATTTTTGATGAATTTCTTAAATTATAATTATTTTTTCATTATCAAGTATTTTCAAACAACTAGAAATTGTGAACTTTTAAAAGTTTTTTAGGATTTTCTGATTAAAGCTACATCTTTATTGCATGAAACTTTTCAATTTCTAATTAATCTTCTTATTTTCTTTCAAAAATTTTAAATTGCGTTTTGATTATAAGTTGTGCATGTTTTAATGTATTTTTCAAAATTGCAATTTACCTTAAATTTGAACAGTCTTACTAAAATCTTCTCAATTAAAATTTTGATACTGTATTTAATTTATAATAAATATCTTATAAGGTTTTATCAAACCGATGCAGAAATTGGCAAAATTAGACATTTTTCACTAAAAAATTATTTTGAAAAACTGTAAGAATTTTGTTTAAACTGAAATTGTGAAATAAAAACAATTTTAACACAGGTCAGCATTTAAAAAAGTTAACGTAAAACAAAATAGTGTATTAAAAAACGCGTTTCGTAAGGCAAGTTTTTGGAACAAGTTCAGATTTATGAAACGAGCAGCGAAGCGCGAGTTCCCACAAATGACTTATGAAACAAGTTTTTTATGCTATTTTTTATATTTTGGGCATTTGACGTACTTTTTTGACAAACAAGTCACTTTTTTAAAATTGAAAAACTTTTGCCCTTATGAGGTGGTGGTTGGTATTTTCGAAGTGTTAAGTCTCAAATATTTTTCAAAATTTTCTTGGATTAACAATGAATACAGCAAATATTTTATGCACACCCTCTGAAATAAGAGAAAACGTCGCTGGAAATCACCATTACCAACCTCTTGAATGTAAATTGTACTAGTCTATTTCAGCACCTAAATTGGTGTTGAAATGGCTCATTAAAGCATCGGTTTTGGTATCCAAATAAGCTTGCTTTCAGACGCAAAATAAAAATTAAGTTTTTTGATATTTTGAATGAAAATAAAAAAAATAAACTTTAATTTGTAGTAAAAATACAGCGTGTTTTCGAAATAATTAAACACAAACTTTTTTCAGTGAATAAACAGAAACTCAAAATATTATGATATAAATTGTCATTATTAATAACACTAGTAGCACAGTTATATAACAGTTGTATAACTCACAAATGTGAGACATTTTTAGATAACAATTATATGTGGTATAACCAGGGTTAGGTTCGAATAAAAAGGTTATATAACCAACGTAGAGGGTGTTAAAAAAAGATTTTAAAACATTTAAGGAGGTAATAGTGTGGACCAAAATAAACAAAAAAGTCTTAATAAAAAGTAACGGTTTCGGAGAAATCAAATGAGAAAATTTTTAGAATTCTTACTTTGCGGACCCATGCTTTTTGTTTGTTTTGGTCCATACTATGACCTCCTCAAATATTTTACAATTTTTTTAACACCTTGTATACGCATGGTTTAATCAGTTATTTTAGGTACTAGTACTAGTTTCTTTTAGGTTTTTAGTCCTAGTATTTTCAGTCTTAAAGGAGTAAATAAAAATTACTAAGAGTTTTCATATTTAAATTTTTTTTTCCTTTAACATTTTTTTTAAAATTAAGACCTTTAGCAGAATTTATTCTGTGTAATTCTCCATTATTTAGTTGACAAGTTTTAATTTATTTGTTTTTTGTTGAAGAATTTTGATATTAGCATTACATTTGAAATTTGTTGTCAGAAAACGTTTATTAACAATTCTAAATGAAATTTAATCCTCGAAATGGTGCAGCATCCTGCCGCCCGTCTGGCAACAGGTCTCCCGATCGATTTTTGCATCCTGCCGAAAAAAATTCCTGCTAATTGTATTCCTGCAGGACCTCCGTTGCATCCAATAAACACGACGAGCCGATCCTAGCCGAACGGCGTCGTTTGCCCACTATTATTGTTGACATGGAGAGCTTGATCTCGAGTCAGTCTTCGCCGCGTCCTTCTAGTTGGCGCTCCGACGGGACTAACGGCGTCGCGACGCTCTCACATTACGTTCTCCACAGCAGGAATTTTTTCTTTCAACACCTGTGTGTTAATATTAATGTTGGTGTGTTTGCAAAAGTCTTGAGGAAACGCCGTGTCTAGTTGAAGGTAAGCAACACTTACTAGCTGGCTTTTTTTGCAAAGTTTAGGTGTGTTCGCGATTTGCGGGAAAATTCCGCAAAATTCGGCCAAAAACACGAGAAAACTGCCAGTTTTGCGCTAAATATTTTTTTAATTATTTTGCGTTTTCTCTATTTACCCTAATTAGCCCATAAGTTATCGATCTACTAACACGCATTAAAAACACATTTAAAACAACTTTATGGTTTGACGAGATTTTGCAAGCTATTAAGATAAAGATTTAACGCCTTCAAGTTGCAAAGTTCTGGAAGATTTTTTTTTATTTGGAGTACAAATATTTAACTGAATGAAATATTAATAAGGTTTTGGAGCATCTAAACAGTGTTTTATTCTTTTTTTATTAAAATATACACAAAAGAGGCGAAATATTGGCAAATGGTGGGAAAATGTAAGACATTATATAACCCTTTCAGTGGAATGAAGTTCTTATGTCAACATTTGGTTGCGACCTTTCACTTTACTTATCCTCGGTGACATTGTAACCGATTCGAAACTAAATCAGAGCAGGGAAAAAGTGTTAGCAAAAAAACAAAGATTTTACAAATTTTATTGATCTAAAATTGGATATAGTTTGTATTTTAATTTCAATTTTATTCAAGCTAACGTTATTATATTAATGCTGTCAGAATCTGAAGCAAGTATTGGAAAAGCTAACCGAACTTCACACAAGTCAAATTTATTTAAGAGTTTCAATAAATTAAAGCTTTAAAATATGACAAGTTTTATTTATGGATTTTTAAAAATCCAACATTTGTTCTTTTATGCAAGTTGTGCTCAACATCAATAAAGTGTGTGTTAGTGTTGTCAAAACCATGGTAACCCTCAATACAGTGCGTTTACACAAAACCTTGAATTGTGACGACTGACTTGAAATTTTCTAATTATGCTGAAAATTGTTCCTGAAATTGACTCGGAAAAAAACAGGATTTACACTTTATAGCTTAATTAAAATACAATAAAAGGACTTTTATGTATAACAAGAAAAACTTTTTATTGTTGTCATTATGAGTTTAGTGTGGTTGTTATGGAGGCAATAAACGCATGTGAGGACTGGGGATTGAGATTAGGTGGTGGCAATTGAGGAAAATTGTAAACTGAATAAAAGGAGAAGAATTGCGAATAGTTAACTTGAATTATTTGAATTATTCATAATATAATCTGCGCTTGAGATAGAATAACACATCTTTAAAAATTCCATTTGTAAACATCGTAGTAAAAACAACTTGGAAATGCATCTGAGTTTCATCAAACAGAACAGGAAAAAAATTAAGAGAATAAACAAAAAATTTAAATCAAAATTACTGATTTGGAAAAATTCTGTTCTAAAATGTGAAAAATAGTTTATTTTTATATGACCACTTATGGCCAGAGCAACACGTACGTAAAAAACATCTGTAGAAGAAAAATTAACAGCGAAAAAAAAAACAAATCCTAGTATTTTATGTTTACTTCTTAAAAAATTGTTATTAATGAAATTTCTATCGTTTTTTTTTGAGTTCTGTTGCAATTTACCTTAAATAGCTCTTTTGTTAAAATCTTAAGACTGATTTTAATGAGAATTTTAAAATATTTAGAAATTTCACCAAAACGATGCAAAAATGGGCAAAATCAGATATTTAACACGTAGTTTTTAAATCATTTTAAATCAAGCTGCTGAATCACACCTTTTGTAGTAGTTTTGAAAATAATAATCTTTTATAAAAATTAAAATTATTTTATCTGTAAATGTCACAAAAGTGGGCAATTTTTATGACTAAATGTCAGAAGTAAAAGTTTTATTTTTCAGTTTTTTAATAAAAATTCTGTTTTTGTGACTAAGCATTTTTACTTTTATCATGATATTATTAATATTTACCAATGCTGTTTCTTTTTTACCTTTTTCGCTGCTTCAGCAATTTTTAGATTGTAGATCATTAGCATTTGACATTTTGCACTACTGACTGCACTAGTCATTTACACTTTCGAAAAGCTATACACAAATTCCAATACTGACGCGTGATTATTTTGTTCATTTACTTGCTAACTAAGTGTTACGCTTTATATGACTCAGTGGAATTATTAAAATAAAATATCACTTTTATCCCTAATAACATAATATACTATTGTTATAAATAGTTGGCTTGCAATTTCGAAGGATTTAAAAACATTGTTTTTTTACATAAAAAGAGAAATAAATTAAAAGTAAAAACAAACACTTTTTCGTTTTTTAAAAAGGTGAATGATCTTGAGCTCAGTGGCGGAAATAAATATTTTGTTTAAAATCTTTCACCACTTTTTAAAAATAAAACTACCTGTTATTCCTGAAATATTCTCTGTTTTTTGAAACAATAAATTAATTAAAACCTGCATATTAATGCATTTTTGTTTCCTAAAGCAATTTTTGTTTATATTACAATAAAGGAAAGGCTAGAGAAGTCGGCGAATAAATTTTCATAAAAAATTAGAATTAGAAAAAAACTAAAAAACAAGTAATCTTCGAAGAATGAAAATAATTGTGTGATGAAACATAATTATACATAAGTATTTATTACACAATATGACTTTGTTACAATATCATTGTTGTTGTTTATGATTATTTGCATGATTGTTTTATTGCAAAGATTGTTTATAAATAAAATTGTCTCCGTTCTAAATTGTTTTCATTTTTACAATTTTTCTGAAACCTGAAACTCTGAAAATGTTCATGTCAAAATTTTGTAACTCGCTGTTTCATGTAAAGTCACTTAAATCGATCAAGTGGTCCGCAACTGCGCACAAATTAGTAAATAATTAAGTAATTCGTCCATTTCCCTAGGTGGAAAACAAACCAGGTTATTTTCCCCGAGTCTGCTTGGGGCCATTGTTACGTCCTGAAAACACGTTGTTTTAGCAACGACACTCGAACGAATTTGCATGACAATACGGTTTTCAGCGACGCTAAGAGGGTTGGGATGAAGTTGTCACGTCAAACACGTTGATTTTTCAATTTGCTCACGTATCCTCGAGGAAAAATATCCCAGATTGATTGACTTTATGAACTAGATAACTAGGCTTTAACCACCTTATGAATATTAAAAGAATGAGAGCTTGCATGAAAAGCTCATCCGTATGCAAACGGAAAATTGACGAGCGAGGATATGCTTTTGTCGCCACTTTATCGCAGAAACATCGAAGAAGTTTCTTGCTTCCACCTGCATAAATGGCAATTCTAAAACTGGAAGCGAAGTCAAGATTGTCGTTTCGGATTTTTCACACTAAACTGACTCTCATGCTTTTCACAAGTTCAAATAAACATCATAGATCTCATTGCACGAAATTGGACATCAAAAATCATTGCTTTTGTACAAAATCAAAACTATTTTGATTGAAAACTTAAGATTGAACTGACTAAAATTTCATTAAGCATAAAATCTGATAATTTTGTTTCATTTTTATTGTTATGAACATTCCTAAACATTCCTTATTTCAACACGTGATTTTTAAACTTGTTCTATTTTTGACGCAAACAAAACCCAGATTGTTTCAAGCAATTCTTTTTTTAACCGATAAATGGCGTTTTCATTTTAAGTACTGCATGTTTTAATTTATTTTTAGAACTTGTAATTCAATTCCTAGAAACAGTAATTTTCTAATATCATTTTAACTTTGAATTATTCAATTTGTAAATCGGAACAATAAAGCAGTTGTGGGAAGTTATAGTTTTGTTTACGCACTTAAGTATCGACTTAATTAAGTATTATTGAAAATGGGCTACATGTTTTAGTGTAAAATTAATGTAAATTAAAGAAAGGAAAAACAATACTTGATTTTTATGAAAATTAAGTAAGTAAATTATAGTTATTTTCATTCAAATTCAAAAAAATAAATAAAAATAAATAAACTCATTTTCTTCTACTCAGGTTTAAAAACAACATTTATTTGAGAAAATTATGTTTGAAAATGAAAAAGTCTAAATTTCTTATTTTTTCTATGGCCACGATTTGCCAGGGCAGTTACATTTGTTCATACCTAAATAAAATTAAAAACGATTTTTCTTAATGTGAATATGTTTAGCATATTTTATATACTGGGTGCTCAGAAATAAAATTTAGTAATTGATAAGATTGCTACAATTTTTCAAAAATAAATATAATTTTCAATAATATATAATTTTATATATTATGTTATAATACTTATAATTTTTTGACTATTATTTTTATACAACTTGAAATTTTGAATATTCAAACGTTTTTACGGTTTTCTGCTTATTTGCTTCCAAAAATTATAAATTGTGTTTTGATTTTAAGTTTTGGATGTTTTAATTTATTTTTAGAACTTGTAGGTACTTTAATTCCTAGAAACAATAATATTCTAATTTCTTTTTATTTTCTAATTTCACTTTAACTATGAATTATTCAATTTGTAAAATCGGAACAATAAAGCATAGTCTTGGGAAATTATAGTTTTGCTTACACTCTTAGGTACCGACTTAATTAATTATTACTGCAAATGTGCTATATGTTTTAGTATGAAATTTATGTAATTAATTAAATGAAAGAAAAAAAACAATAATTGATTTTTGTAAAAACAAAGTTAATTATAGATATTTTAATTCAAATTCTAAGAAATTTAAAAAAATGAACTCATTTACTTCTACTTAG